ATTGTTGTAATTTATCGTATAGATTAGATTAGTTTAGATTTATCGTATAGTATTAGGGGGTATTAGCGTATTAGGGTAAATCTTTATCCTATAACGCCAATCCCTTTCTCTTAAGGAACGAAAAATTGAACTTTTTAAATCTATATTTAAAAAGAAAATGCTTATTCCTACCTGCTTTGGATCATCTTTTAATTATCCACGACGTTATCATAACTATCAATATTTCAGCTTTGCTATCAGCAACTCGGCTTAACAGACTTCCTTTCCCTAGCCTCTAACTAGAATCCCATTACTAACCCTTAACAGAAGCCTGTAAAAACTGAATTATAATAAATTGATATTAAAAATGAAAGAAGTAAAGAAATTCGTTTAGGTAATTGTGAAAATGGGAAAAAACAATTAAAAAGTGTATTCTTCACATTATATGATGAGATGAATAAAAATATCTTAAGGTGCTTACTGTAATATTTAAGACAAAAAAATATGAGGTACAGTTAAAGGTAGAGAAATCTTACTTATTTCCGGATTAAATATAAACTTTTGATACTTCATTATCATTATTATTTATTCATTATCATTGAATGACGGTTCGCAATTGTTAAACTCCGCTATCGAAGAAAAAAATTATTTAGAGCTTTCAAAACTAGAATCATTATAGAATCATTAGAAATGCCAGGAATGCAACCAGATCCCTACTATAGGTCAGGAATCTTCTGAATGACTCCTACATTGCCTGACGTTTTAGCCATTAAAAACCACATAACCTCATTGATAACTAACAAAAAAGGAAATACACAAAAATACGTTTATTTAAATAACAATATATATTATGTTGAGGCTAGTTGAGTCAGTGCACTTAAGCACTTTTACTCTCTAACATATTAACTGTGAGGTTTCTTCAAAACCCATCTTTGCGCCTTGACTAAATTATTGTTTATACTCAAATATTATTTGTTTCAGAACGAAAACATTATAACTAGTGTTTGAAAGCACTTGTAGTAGTGTTGTCAAAGACTGCAGTCTGTTTAAGGTTCAGATTAAAAAACAAATTAAAATTATAATACTAACAAACAATTGTTATAACTACTGGATAACTAACTATTTCCAATTTATAATCTGTAATAAATTTCGCTTTCCTGATTGTATAATATAAAATTAAATAGTAGCATTACCCTGTAAATAAATTACAAAATTACCCTGAAAAGGACTAATAGATATACCATTTTGAGTGAAGGGAAGCAAACGTAACAAAAGTAACATGCAAACAGACCAGAACCAAATTCAGTAAATGAGCACTGCACACCACATTTTGATGAGCAATAAAAAACCAGAAAGCATTGAAAAATGGAGCTCGCGAAAAAATAGTGTAAAAACGTCAAAAGATTGCAAAAAATGAGAACAAATTAATCTTCGATAAAATGGACTTTCATCAACAGTCACGTTAATGGCTACAACAACACCAACCACCAACCACCAACAACAGACCCAACAACTACAAGTGGATCAGGGCGAGAAACAGAGCCAAACGGAAGTGGAAGCTGTATAAGTGGTAAGAAGTACAAGACAAAGGTGGCCGCATATGATGACGGGCCATGAAATTGAAAAATTGCCACATAATTGCCAAAGATAGACAGCGCAACATAGCACATGCCATGCTATAGACGGTGGGAGGGAAAGTGGCACTTAAGCCGTAATGTGCAAAGTAAATTAGTTTAAAAAAATTTAATAAATTTCAACTTGAAAAGGAAAGAAGCTGAAATAGCGAAAATCTACTTAATGAAACTTTTTTCTCAAACATTTTAATAAAGTTGGCTGAAGGCAAAAATTAACTGCAGCAGAACGTGCGCACCGAATGATTAATGAGTAATTTATGCAGTTGCTAGCTGCAAGGTCTCTGCGTTGACTTCATAGAAAATAATTATAAATATAACTTCTTAACTAATTATTATTAGAAAAAGAAAAGAAATATGAGGTGACTTGCTTCTTATAATTCTATAGAGCAAAGAGAAATGAAAGAATGAAAGCGAAATTATTAAACTTACATACAATTTTAAAATAATATCTTGTCTTGAATTCCCAGTTCTGACCTACATAAATTCAAAGTAGGTATTCAATTTTTCTTTATGCAAAACCATATGCATATTTATGTACAGGAGTAGATACTTCAACTGTACAATACTTATGCACTCAATTTCTTGGAAAGGTTGCATTCGACGTAAACAGAGTTGCATGGAAAAGCATCAGTGCACACTCAATTGAAAAGTGTAAAGCAGCGTATTAAGTACGTAAAATTGAATTTGCTAGTTTGTGTTTGTTTGTGTAGGTGTGCCGAGCAAATCAACAAATCGAACACATTTGCTCGGCACTTCAGCATACACGCTCCATTATGTGCTTTCAGAATGCATCTGAGTTCCGATATAAAAAAGGCTTACGTTTTTAATCGAAGAAAAAATCAAACAATTTGCCAGCTTAAAGTTCATTCGAAAAAACTGAAAATAGGAGTGGAGAATTGAAAAAAGTTGGGAATAATCGAACTGTTCAATATGCCATTGATAAAAAGGACTCGCCGCATGCGAGGTCAGAAGAAAATGAAATTCTGCATATGATGTGTGAAGCCTGCTTTGTTGGCTATTGTCGCACTGCCACAATGGCATGATCTGAAATGAAAAGAAAGCGCACTACACAAAATATTTCTTTCAATAAGTTTAAACGTATATTTAACAATAAATAGCCTTATTAGTCTTTAAAATTCGAACTAGTACTTAAATGATAGGATTTCACTACTTAATTTGGACCATAATCCGATTGCAGTTTTAATACCGAATAAATTATTGTTTATATTGTCTTAAAATTATATAGTACTTCCTAATATTTTTCGACTACCTAAGGATTTTCCTTAGCAACAATTTAATCGAAGTACTCTGACCTCTGAAACAAATATATAAACTTCTGGACGAACACATAACAAAGAAAACAAAGAAAAGGTTGCGAAACTTAACCACTTGTAGAAAAGCTACGATCATGTGTAGACACATATACGAGGAAAAACACACCGAGGATGTTATATCGTCTAGCCGAAGGAACTGTAGAACAATAATTGGTGTATTGACAGGTCACTGTCTAGTCGCAACACATGCGATCAAACTAAAACTAATTCGCAGCGATGCTTGTGGAAATGCAACGAGCCGGATGCAAACGACACCCTGGAGTATCTGCTGTGTAACTACCTGTCTCTCTCGAGCTCAACAAAAATAATTGGGGCTGTTACATACCTAAGGTTTCTGTTGAAATCCCAATAAAATTCGCTAATAACACGCGCATTCTAAGCGATGCACACCATCGCTAAAAAAAATTAAGACTCTGCTCTGGTATTTTTGGCGTGCCAGCATAATCTAACCTAAGTTAGTCAAAGTAGAAAAAGGTTTTGGGCAAATTAATTTGTTTTTCAAATTCACTTTAAAGAACACTGTAGCGGTGATGACCTAACTAGTAGTAGACAGCCTGATAACCTAGTGCTTTTTGGTACAAAAGCTATGCTTAAGAGGACAATATCAGTGTTCAGTGTTTGCATAAATGTTCGTACCAAATCGTTAGTTGCTTATACCATGTTTTCACTTGCCTCATTTAGGCAGTTGTGCATTAAGACTACTAATAAGAATAATGTACCATACAAAGAGCTTTCCTGTAAATGAACCCATTATAAATAAATCAACCGATTTAAGGCAAATGCAACCTTTAAAAATAAATTTTTACCAAAATTTAAAGTATTTGTCATACGTTTTATATGTAAAATATAAAATATAGACAAACAGGCTATTTCACATACATAAATCAGCTTACGCTAATGGAAACGACTTAATCTTAATTTAATTAACGTAAGTAGTTTAAGCTGTAGTGGAAATTAGACAATATCATGACGCTGTACTTAACAAATCTATTTTCTTACATTGAAATTCATTAAAAGTAAAATTAAATTACGTGAAAGTTTAAGACAATATAGTCGAGTCAATATTCTACAACGTAAGACCAAACCTGCTTTGAATTGTATGCAGAAATAATAGAAGTAATTAATATAGAACTGCAGTTGGATACTCTAACAAAAGATTTTCTGTCTCTATATAACTATTGGATTTAATATATTTTATTACTCTTCCTAAAAAATATCTGTTTGTTCTGAAGAGCTCTATGTACAGTTCTGAAGAGCTCTTTACAACTTGAATACCTAACCATTTTTTTTAACTCTTAATAATATTGTGATCAGCACTACGAATAGGTCATGGTAAAACATTGATACTGTGTTGTTGAAACCAAACCACTGTTGTGTGCGATTAATATGAGATCAGGAACACCAATTGATTCAACTGATTGTTTTTAATCAGATCATTTTTGTCCATGGGACAAAACTCAACACGTTTTCAGACTTAAGTCTTAAAAATACATATCATTAATTTTATTATGTTATTATCTTTTTGATATACATATATTTTGCATTGATGTACTATATCTAGTACAGGTTTCAATAAATATATTTTTGGTGGCATTCTTACAGGAAAAACCTTTATCTTTTCTATGAAAAAACTTACCACCTAATACAATACAAAAAATGTCTTTTTCGATCTTTCAAGTTTGACTGGTAATGGATACTATGTTAGCCGTAAAATATATAAAAACTAAGAATATTACAAATAAATATTTAATTTTATTTATATTTAACAATAGAAAAGCTAAATTTTATATGGTAGAAACTGCATACACAGAATTGGTCTTGACCCACAATACAACGTTGTCCTATTATTCTTTCCATTTAGCTGTCAAAGTTTTCGTGGAAAGTGTACTCATTTGTGATGTATTGACCATTAAAACACTTTTGAAATACACTCGTGTTTTCATAAGCATATCTTGTTATTGCATTATATATATATATATATATATCTCATACATTTTATGTGTCTTCTTCACGTATTTATTGCATTCGTGTTTTGTTTTCTGTTTACTTACAGCTGCGCTTCGTGCCATTCATCTTGTGCCACTTGCAATGGTTCCGCCGAGTCCCAGTGCATCACATGCCGTTCCGGTCGTTTTGCCTTCGATGGCAAATGCTTAAATAGTTGCCCCGATGGCTATTATGCGGACAAAAAACGACAGGAATGTGTGTCTTGTCCGACTGGCTGTGCAACATGTAGCATTAATGGTTTTTGTCTTACTTGCCGCGAGAACTGGACACGGAATAAAAAGGGGAAATGCATTATCACCGGAAGTGAGAACTGCGATGAATGTGAGTAAAATGGTTACTTTTTTGGTTATTATCTCGTTTTTATATTTTGTTTTTGTTTGTGTGTTTCCTTTTATTTTACAACAATTTCTGTAATAGGAAAAATAGTTAATTTTTGTTTTTACTCCGTTAGAGAAATTTTCAAGAATCCTAGTCGCACACTTCCCGTGCTGTCTGACACGTTGAACTCCATTAAATTACTTATTGATTTTGTTGTGCGCTCTGGAAGTCCGTTCTATTGAAGTTTAGTGGAAATTTAAAAGTTTTAATGGCAACATTAATTCGCATTAAATAACCGTTAAATAACTTGTTAAGTTATTTATTTTGTACTTTTTTGTATTGAACACTTTTTAGTCCGGTTTTTACAAAATCTTTAGCACATTTACTTTAATATGTACTTTAGCACTTTGAAACTTCATATTGATAGTATAGCGAGAAAGTTAGATACATAATGTCAATGTAACTTTAGTATCCAGTAATTGGTGTGGGACAATAAAAACTATTTTTTTGTCATTGTATCTTTCCGACCAAAGTCCGGAAAAATTATGAAGATATCTACGTGTTGTTGCTATACAAATTATTTACAAAACAAGATAAAATTATAATTGAGCTATTTTGTAAGGCTCTATCCTCCACTTAGGAAAAAAGAAATATATCACAATCATCATCATTGTTGATGCTTTATCAATTTGTGAAAACAAAAATATTGAAATAAAAGATTCTTGTTTAGCAAAACTCCTATTTTTGATGTTAAAAACACATTTGGCATCTAAGGAAGCCAATAGTCCTTTGATGTTCCCAGTAATTCTTTGATATATTTCTTGTACGGTCCCCATCTCTGTGTATGAATGTTAGTAAAATGAATCCATGCATCTAACTCTCCTATATAACCACTATAAATTCTAATACAAAATAAATATCAGAAAAAAATTTATTTTAACGCAACATATATATATCCATGTATTTGTTGTGTCATGTACTTAACATATATATATCCATATCTATAGCCCAAGTTAGCTTTATAAACGTTGGTTAAAATTTAAACGAGTTTAAAATCGTAATACTGCGTATTAAGCAGCATTTGCCGGGACTCTGAACATCATATTTTAACTGATCTGGTCTCAAATATCGAAGTTATTTTTTATCGTGCGGCTTATAGGTTGCACACATTTTTGGACTTTAGTAAATTTATCATAGAAAGGTTAGACATATTAGCCGCACTTATTATTAATTTCCTTTCAGATTCCGCATTAGTTTAAATTCTGAATTCATAGGTTGGTCGAATTTTTGGACATACGTATATATATGTTCCGGAAATTCGATCTATTTACTTCATTTATACGTAATTGTATTTTTAGATATATTTGTAATAGTTAGAACCTTTAGAGTATAAAGCCTATACATTTGACCTACGCCAGGCTTTCAATTTTATGATCACCTTTGGTGCACTTTCTTCTTTTAGTCCTAACATTGTCTTTGATTGCATTAAAAACTTTTTGTACTATTAAACTTCAATGATTTGCATAAATTTGCGAATAATTGTAATTTGTAAAATATTTATACTTGTCTATACCAGCACAATATTGAATACCATAAGAACTAGGATGTCACCTAATTTAGATTGTATCTGATTAATATATTCTAATGAAAATGTTTTCTCACTTTAAAAAGCGATTTACCCAAAGTCGTATATTCCACAGAACCACCCATGCAACTAAAAAATAGATATGAATTCTTTTTATTATTGTAATATATTTCAATTAAGACTTCCATAAGTTTAATCTGTCACTGGAAGTCATATTTTATTTACTTGATTGACCTCAAACTTCTTTTTAAAATAGACTTCTTAAAATGCACAAAATTTAGAAAATTCCTTATTAGTTTTGACAAATATATGGTTTGATGTCTTATAGTAAACATATAGAAATGCTAAAGAAATTAAAAGGATGATATTGTTTTCCACTTTTGCAAATATATATATTATCTCCAAAAAAAAGAACTCAATTCTTTTTCTATAATCTTCAATTTAGTAGATTAGTGTTAAACAGTTACTGTCAGGAGTATGTGTAATCGTTGAAAATCTGATTGGTACTCTGCAGCATCCTTTATATATATTTTACATTAAGGAAATTAGTCATTGCAAATATTAAATATGATCGGAGAGGTATTGTGATGTTCAATGAATAATACTTTGTTAATAAACGGAATCCTAATTTTATTTCTAGCAGCTATTAAAAGAGAATCTCAATACAATTCTCATCTTACAATTATAAATACTGTCTCAAAACAAAAGTATTGTTTAACATATTTTCCCAATTGGAATTAATCAGAATATATTCACAATCGTCATCATTATTATATGACTAATATTATAGATTGTGGCTCAGATGATCTATGACCAATGTAACAACTATCTATTAGCATATAGTAACTTCCATTACATTACTTTTCTTTGCTTTAACATTCCAAGAATGATTAAAACTAATAATTGATAGCATTTTGACATATGAGCACAAAAGAAATCTACTTAAAAATCCATTTTCGAGAGTAATTTTACAAAATTCAACGTAAAAGTGCATTGGCTGACAAGCACTTCCCATACCAGCGACATTTCTGATCCAAATTTACCTGCAGCAATATGACATTAACTCCATTCACTTTGTCCTTCTCTGTACTTCTTTCCAAAGCAGCAAAAACAACCAAATTTGCACCAAGAAATTTGTTGCAGATGCACAAAAACTACTGCAAAATGTACGAGGGGACCAAGTGCATAGTTTCACGTCCGATGGCCCGCAAACGTTTTCAACTGCCAATAACAGCATTTGCATTGCGAAGCTTGTGAAACGCAGCATAAATGCGGGAAAATCTGCAATTTGATAAATTATGAAATAGCATTAAAACGAACGAACTAACGCCAGAAGAAGTGAAGCATCAATCACGCAATCACAAAATGGCCAAATGAAATGACAAATGACGAACTTCGCCATTTTCTCAGCATATTGGTCTATGCGGCCATTTTGTATGCGATGAAGCCGAAATAATGCAGCACAATTGTAATCACTGACGCATCAACGTGTTTTAATTTCGCTTTGTATGCGGAAAATGTTGTTACGGGTACGGACACACCTGCCCCATCCGAACCTCTCCACGGTACTCGTGTAGTTTCTGTTGATAATGCTTTAAAGCCGTTCTTATATTATTTGCTAGCTTTTTTATAAAAATTGTTGCTGGCATCTGCAATTGTGCAGCTGTATTGGATCTGACATTAAGTTCCACTCTGAAATGTATTCGAACTCGTACGTGCTCTCATATTTATGCCGCCTTTTAATGGTCCAATCTGAGTCCATTTTTTTATTTGTGTTGGTTTTGCATTTCATCTCATTCATTCGACAGCACGCACTTGCTGAATCCGTCAGGTGCATTACGCGTGTTTCAAATGTACAACAAGCAATCCCCAGCATAATTACTATTTTAACCCGGCAGGCCAATTTCAGAATTTGCATCTTCCTTTTTCTCATTGTTTGTGTTCCATTGTAATTTTACTGCCCTTGCGTTGTGCCTTTTTTTTAATATTTGCATATATATTAATGACATCCTTTTAGTCATTACATTCTGTTGTTGTTGAAGTTTTTTCCCTCACTTAAGCTAGTTCCTATATATGCCGATTGCTGAAATATTCAGGAAATTACATCGTTAGTAAGGATTACACAGAGCATTACTTAAAAAATGTTATTTTTTTTTAATTCTTGAATCGTAGCTGTCCTATCTTCTCCAAGTATCCAATTAATTGAAACTTTAAAAAGAGAATGTAAATTTTTTATGAAATTTATTATAAAATATGTTTCCCAATCAATAGAAGACAAGTTCTTGATATAAATACACTCGTCTAACATTTAAATAGTATTACTGCTGCCTGCCTACCTTACTAACTTGTATTTGCGGTTATCACAAAAAAAAACATTACCTTCATCTCAGTTTCATAGAATTTAATTATATCTGGAATTTTGAACCATTACCTGCAGTAATAATGAACTCACCTAACATGTAACTATTTTGACCACTACTAATAGGTATGATTTATTTCTATATGTGTTTATCATGAAGCAAAAGATTCAATAGCTATCGCTCATTTTTATTAGAGCAAAACAGCTCTGTGACATACTGTAGAAATATAGTCATCTAACACGTAACTGTTTTTTCTGCTGTCTATCCATTTTACCTAGTTATATTTACGTTTATCATAAAAAAAATCAGTACCTTCATTTCAATGTGATTGCACCAAAACAGGTCTGGAATCATGAACCATAACATATTTTAGAAATGAACTCGATCCATTATTATTAGTACGGTCTGCCCACCTTCCTTACTTGTATTCGCGATTATATTAAAAAAAAGTCAACACCTTTCTTTCGCTAAAATAGGTTTGGAGTCTTCATCCGTGAGATACTTTTACACCAATCTGGCATAGTACTACACATAGATGTCTACCAAAAAATTTAAATGATTTATATAAATTAATACAACATGTAGTATTAAATTGTTGAAAAAAATGAAAAGTTCTCAAAAATTCATATTGCTATTTTTGCTTTTTTTTTTGCTGTACTATATAACTATATAAGCTATACTTGTACTATATGTTATATATAATTTTTGAAACCTCAAATCACTTGCTTTCCGGTATACAGATAAATGCTTTTCACAAACTTTGTTTCATGATTTCAATTTAACCTATACGAATATTTCGGAGTGTCGATTTCAATTTCATGAATGAAAAAAGTCAACTCACTCTTTTCAATAGATGTTCGGGCTCAATAGGGAATTGCCCTCACTCTACAAACGCTGTCTATTATCATGCCTATCAAGTTGATGGGTGAAAAAGCTTAAACAATAACTAACACTGATTAGAAAACATTTTGAGCATATTAAAAAAATATTGCAAAATCTATGGTCCCTTACGTTTTGGTTACGGCTTTATGAACTATGCCGCGATATTGCCATAAAATTCAGTGGCTTGACCTGCTTGATCATGTCGCATGAATGGATGAAAAGTGTCTGACTCAATGTGTACGACTGAAAAATGCGGCTTTAAGTACCACCACTTGGTGACGGCACACCTCTGATCTGACTAGTCGAAGGAGACCGCTTGACGCGGCGGCTCAAGGACGAAAATGTGGCAATCTTCCTAAAAGGGCAGGTTTTGTAGGTTTTCTTTGAAAATTGTAAAATTTTGTTGTATTATAAAAAAGAAGAATGTTCAATTCTTACTGTTATATTGAGCTGAAATGAAGCATATTTTATAATATTAAACAATTGAATTCTCATATATTATAAATATGATTTCACGTACTCATCTGTTTGCATCCCATTTTATAAAATTAAAAATTATAATTCTCAATCAATTTAAACATAAATTATAGTTAATAATATTCTTTTAGCACCTATAAGCATAAGATTTTAATGTATAATAAGATACTATGTTATCACTGGAAATATTGGTCGCGTTTTCTTCCCTTGGAATTTATGTAATTTTGTTGTAATTTAAAGAATAAAATGGTTCAGCTCTTTCTTTTATCCTATTATATAATCAGAATATTCTCAATGTATAATATAACATAAAATCTTCTTTGAAGTATTGGTTTTAAACGTTTTCCAGGAATCCAAACGACAGTTAAGTGTTTAAATATGTAATTCGGAATCCCTTATTCCATCAAGTTTTTGTTTTATTACTGTTTTATTATTGTTTTGTTATTTTATTTATTTTTATTTATTTATATAAATCAGAAAAGCATATATTTATTTATTAATCTTTACAATTAAGTAATTAATTAATTAATGAATTTATATTAATTTTTTCTTTTCTCTTCTGAATGTGAGTCGTCTTTCTGAGGAAAAGAAACTATTTAAAAGTTAAACGGATTCGAATAGCAAAGAAAATGCAAAGACAAAAGTTTTAGTTAATTTATTGAAATTTGGCTGACCATACAACGCTGCTTCGAGTATTGCCAAGTACTCATCATCAGTTATCTTAGGAAATACTCGAATTTCATTTTAATTAGTTTAAAGTCTATATATATGACATAGTATATATGGTAATTTGTTTGACTGCAAGTACTTTAACCAATTGCGCTGACTCTAAGTTTCAAATTTGGGAGGACACGAGTTCGATTCCTAGTACTTGCAGTCTCAAAAAACTATTTTCGAATAAATACAATAATTATTTTCAAGACCACTGATGATGGGTATGATCAGCCAAAAATTCAATTAATTTAAATTTATTATTTATTGAATATTTTATTTTATTCAATTAAATTTGAATTTTTGTTGTTGTAGTTCAGTACTTTTCGAAAATCTTCTTTATGAAAAATATACTAGTTATGTTATACCAAATATAATACTCACTTCCGTCTGAAAAATTTGTTGTTAAATTACAACTTGTAATTATTTTATCTAATCGAGCATCGTAGTACTATGCAGTAGTCGATCAACACTTCTCAATTTTTAAAAATTTTAAACAAAAGCTGATGGATTAAATAAACTTTACTTAAGAATATAAAAACCCTTATATTAGTAGCCTTTACCGTAAAATAGCTGTTGTTGTGATTAGATTATTTTAACAAGAACTTTGAATTGGAAACCCGGTTTAGTAAGAACAAAATATAGCAGTTCGGTTTTGGTTTTCACTATGAAAAAAGTATGGATTTTCGTTTATTTTCGGTTCAATTCCAATTTAAAACCGTGATTATGTCTAAGAGTTATTTCAGAATAGAGTTCTTTTGTGGTCTACATTTTGATTTGTATTAAAAAGACACCGCCCCGATTCAATATGTTGCGTTTAATGGAACTATCAACCAACTCCAGAATTTTTGTTTTTTTGAGGAGATAAACTATTTATATAATAATGTATAATAATGATGGTTTCTTGACATAATTTGTAAATGTTCATAATTTTTATTAATATGTCTTATTTATTATATTATACATCACTAAGCCACTTCTTGATAAGATATATTGTTCTAATATATTTGTACTGTGAAATTAACATAATTAGAAAATGTTTTTAATTTATATTATATTTATAATTTATTTTATAATTTATTTATATTATATATATATTCAGTAGTCAAGTAATGCACTTATTGCAAAAATTTTCTTAACTTATACTCTTACAAAAATAATATTATATGAATTTTTTTTTTTTTCTTACAGCTGAGTACTATGAAAACAATCACTGTCATTCGTGTCATTCCACTTGCGAGACTTGTGATGGTCCCACCGAGTCCAACTGCTTAAGCTGTCCCCAAAGTTTGTTACTACAGTCGAGTCGTTGTGTCAGCAGCTGTGATGATGGTTTCTACATGGAAGCGGGTATATGCGCCAAATGTTTACACACCTGCACACAGTGTGTTTCACGTATGAACTGCACGTCCTGTGCCAAAGGCCTGCAGCTGCAAAGTGGCGAATGTCGCACTACCTGTGCCGATGGGTAATTATTGTCGTACTCCAAAAATGTTAAAGAAAAGAGTGTGAGAAAGAAAATGTGTTGCTGAAAGTAATGTAGTAATGCCTAGAGGCTGTCATTGCTGACAGCCACTCAATTTAAAATTCCACAAAAATTATAAAAAAAATGAATGGGAAACCAAAATAACTTCTCATTTTCTCTGATAAATTTTCTTTTAATTCGCTTTAAAATACATTTTACCAAACTGTCAATTTAAAGTCCTTTCATTAAAAGTTCTCCAACTTCCGCAACACTAAAAAGGCAACAAACTTAACTGAATATTAGAAGCGAAGAAAAATTGTGTTGCTATTAAAAGTTCGCAAAGTTGCAACTGTGAAGTCATCGGTATCCTTATTGTTGTCGTCCGTCCTATTCGCAACTTATTATGTTCAACTAAACTTTTTGCACGCGGGAAACAATAAAGGAGCACAACAATAAAAGCAACAAAACAAACTTCAAATAACTTTTTCACGCTTTTTTCAATACTTGTTAACATCAAAAATTTATCAACTTTTTACTTTGTAATTTTCTAATCCCTCCCCCGTTGCTATCGCCTTTCAACAATAACTTTAAAAACAACAACACGAAAAACAACAACAACAGTTACTACAGTGACCGTGGCACTTGCGCTAAATGTTACCTAAGTTGCCACACCTGCAGTGGACCACGTCGTGACCAATGCGTGCAATGTCCCAACGGTTGGCAATTGGCAGGTGGTGAATGTCATCCAGAGTGTCCAGAAGGTTTCTACAAGTCAGAGTTTGGCTGTCAAAAATGTCACCATTATTGCAAAACATGCAACGGTAAGTAGCAATGCAGATAACAAGTGTCAAGGGCGATATGACTTAATATCATATATATATATTGTATATGAGTTCATGGATTAGATGATGGTTGGTTATCAGTGCAATTTTATAACCATGAAATATATTACTAATAGTGTTGGAAAATTATAGAATTGTGAATCATTTTATTCACACATGTGTGAAGTTTATAATCAAATGAAAGGAAGGATAAATAGACATTATCTTACAAAAAAGGATTTAAATTCCTCGTTTTGATCATTTTAAATTAATTAACTGATTCTTATAGAATAAATTTTAACAAGCTTAAATATTTTTTAATTAAATATTTCTTCATACTTTTTATTTTTGAATTATCTTACATCTTTATCAGGGCGAAATATGAGTAAGATAAGTCAAAAATTAAGACTATATAATAATATTTTCTTTGAGTTCTATAAACCTGTTAATAAATGCAATATATTGAGCGAAGAAGTTTAGTTATTATTATTTATCAATTTCTAGGTAGTTAGTGTAAAAAAATTTTTAGATTCAGAAAACTATAGGTGTCTATATGTTTTAATTTGTAGTTGAAGATCATATTCTAATGTTTTATTTAAAAAAGGAATATATGCAATAGATCTCATCCATATGCATTAAAAACCGTGATAACGTTTTTTTATGATACTAAAAGTACTAAGATCGCAGTTCTGATACGTTTTCGGTTTTAATTCTCTTTAAATAAAAAATATATTAACTATTATTACTAAAAAAAATTCTTAACTAGAATAACTATTTTTGAAAACTAAGAGATTATTTTTTACACGTTTTCTGTGTACATGTTTGTGATATATTAAGCTAGGAATGAAAACACTTAATAAATAGCTCAACCGAATTCATTGTCAAAATTTTAAAGTAAAATTTTACACAATTATTTCCAAATTTGGTTTAAAAAACAATGCAAGTCTGCTAATTTCACTAAATTTTGAGATATTAACTGAATGTAATTTCATTTCATTGACATTATGATTATTATTATTATTATTATTTTAGGTGCCGGTCCACTTGCTTGCACTTCATGCCCACTGCACTTTATGCTAGACGGTGGACTTTGTATGGAATGTTTAGGATCTCAATTCTATGATTCGCCTACACAAACTTGCAAGACATGCCATGATTCCTGTCGTTCATGTTCCGGGCCAGGACAATATTCATGCCAAACCTGCGCTTTTCCACTGCATTTGGATCGTTTGAATAATCAGTGCGTACCTTGTTGCCCAACTGATGCAGCACCTGAAGATCAATCTTGTTGTCATTGCGATAAAGATACCGGTAGGTTTATCTAAACTTTAAAATGAATAATTTAAGTTTACATTTTGAATATTTATTTTATTAGGCGGTTGCATAAATGCATCACCTGCCGGTAAACGTCGCATTGCAGCTGGCGCTGAACAGCAACAATTTGGCAGCTCTTACGGTAACAGTGGTGGTCTCTATGGTAATGTATTGGATGATGAAAATTCAGGAATTGGTGCTGGTTTGGGATCCCCGTTCACCACAATCACTGCAATTGCGGTTGCAGCTTGCTTGCTTATTGTAACAGTATTTGCTGTCATCTTTGCCATACTGCAGGTAAGCATTTTAGTGCATATATTTATTATTGAGTTTATGTGCACATAAGTGTTACTAAAATGAAGTATACTTGTGCCTCAAGATATGAACGAAAATTTAACATGTGATTTAAAGAAAATATATAAAATTTATTTACTAGAAAATTACAGTTGTTGTAGCTTTGATAATTGCATCTCATTCCTTCCGTTTTCAGAAGGGTTCTGTTGGTTTTTGTACTATTTGGTTGTTCAACTCTCTCATTATGTTAATTTTAACAATTGAGAATAATTTAATTCATGTCAAACACATTATTTTAATCACACATTATTCCCAATTAAAATGCGTTTGCACCCACAAGTCATAATCAAGACTGAACCTTATAATCTAACATTCGGCAATTGTACCTTTGATGATAAAATGCAATATTTAATTAATTTATAACTGACCTCGTAAAATTTGAGATTTGAAATATAATTAATAATTCAAAGCAAAAAGCATTTATGCATATTTAAATGACAATTTTGAAACAAAAATCACAATTACTTATCCTTTCAAATTAAGCTAATTAATGTTAAGAATGTTATCAATCATAAACCTTAACGGTAGTCACAACTAAAATTGATTAAAATTCACCGTAGCAGGAAAACAAGACCATTAATCCTAAAACGTAGAAATTTCTTGAGGAATGTTTTAACCCACGACAGCTTGTAATAGCTAAAAATGATTTCTGATATAGTATCACTACCGTTTTTAAGACCAAAACCAACAATATTAGCCTAAATCAGCACAATATATTGTTGTTGTAGCCCACAAGTATCTATAAAGCAGATAATATAAAAAGAATCACAAAGACATATACATGGGTTAGGATGTGGCTAGTAATGATAGTGTGAGGAAGAAGGGAGTTATATAAAATTAAAAATGGATTGGGGGATTTAAATTGAAATTACCGGTCAAGATGGAGAAACCTAGCTACTCTTATAGGGCGAACTCAAAGATCACTTGGACTCAACTTTGTGTGTGAGTTAGAGCAGGAAAACAGATGCGCGACATCATAGAAGAGGTGTAGGTAGGGTACACATTAGATATTGATGCATTAATTTGTGACAAGTAACTGCTTAGCATATGGCCATATTCTAATCTCAATCAGATTAGGACAGTTCTTGCTGTATAGAAAAGACGTAATTTATCCTAAGAGATATAAGTGGCGCCTATTGAAAACTTTGTTGCAGTGCAATTGCAGTCTCAAAAAGGATATTGTATTCGTAGGGAATCCTTCTCCATATCGGACATATGAACATATGCCCTGACCCAGTAGCCTAGATATTTTCTGTTCTATATTAGAATGCATACCATTTAAAGGATTCTTCATTAAAGTTTATATATGTAAATATTTTAAATGTGTACTTTTGTATTATTTTATTAATTCTACAAAAAAGTAATCGCAAATAAACTAACCTTTTGTAAAATGTCAGTTTAAAAATATTAAATATACTTGTTCTTCAAAATCTCTGCTTTTATTACTTCGATTGTTTTATGTATATATATGAAAGTTTGTCCTCCCATATGAATTCTAGAATTTCACTATAAAGCACAGAATCGGTTTTTTTTGGTTAAATTAAACTTTATCTATGCTATTGTAATAGATAGCAATGTCGGTTCATAAATAATTTAAATCCTTCAATTCCCATAATGCTGTTCTTCTCCATGTCATGGTCAGTAGACCGATTCATAACTTACGTATTCAGTGCCTATCAGGTAATATTAATGTTTGGCTTTCTGAGAATGTGCTTTATCTACACTCATTTCCATTTCTGCGTTTCCTCTACTAATCTAGTTTCGCCTGTCCAAGATTGATAGTAAATATTTTCTGGGACCACCAGATTCACTAGATTTTTCGTAGGCTTTGATCTATAAAAGTCTAAATTTCGGACTAGATTTAAGCAATTTTTCATTAAGTCTTAAAAAATAGAACTGCATTTATATTTGTATTGAATATGTAAAGTTTTGTATAAAAAACTGTTTCAATACCTTGTTTTAGCATCGCATTTCTCTGTTTACAACTAATTTGTTTTCACGGGTTTTATTTTTGCATCTGTTTTTGAATGAACATAATATTAAGTGGAAAAAATATACTGAATTTATAATAAAATACCTTAAATTTAATTTTAATTTCAATCAAAAATATTTGGTATATCTTCTCCGTATCATTTTGCCTTTTCAATCTTTTTGCATTATTTCAAATTAATTCACCTCAAACTTTATTTCCAAATCAATGGCATTTCTATTTCAAAACAACTCCGACAATATTTACCCAATAAATAACAAATTTTTATACAATTTGCATATATAATATTTTGCAACTCAATTTGCAATTGCGAATGAAAAGTCAATCATACGCCACGGTGGCTTGGCTATCAAATAGTGAACAAATACGAACGATGTTTTCAGATTTCAACTATGTTCTTTTGTTGCAACTGTTGTTGTTGTTGTTGCTGTTGTTGCTGTAGTTATTGTTGTTGTTTGTATTGTTGGCGTAACTAATGTTGTTACTGTTGTTAGTGGCACACTTATGCTTAAAGCCATGGAAACTTAAATTGGCGCAAATTTCTACCCGACCAGAAGCTACTGTTGATGCCACTGTCGCTCTATAAGTGTACACCAGATACTAATGCGTACAGGGATACGATTACGAATATAAATACAATTATCTGAGCTAAATAGTCTATGAGAGACGTTATTTACCGTTGCTCGCCATAAATTGTTTAACTTTATAGCGATTCCATTTGGCTAAGCAATTTGCAATTCACCACACAAAATGGTAAAATGGTAAAATGGTAAAATGGTTCAATAAACGTTTGACCATAATACGTCAACATTTTGCGCTCAAACGCAAACAACTAAAAGCAAAGCTGCCAACAAAGGACACACCACTTCAAAAATATTGTGTAAGGATAATAAAATTAAAGGATACAGGATATGCAAACACAACACATGAAAACATGCGAAATTATTTAAACGCTTTACTAAGCAAATTTGGCTATTTAACAAAAGCAACAACGCTCAACCTCGCCTAATTTCAGTGGCAACAATTTTATAAATTCTACACTGGAAAATATCTGAAACTTACCCACACACTCGTATTTGGGTGCCACTAACGCACTGTTTTTGTATTTGTTTAAATTTTCATGGATATTTGCTCGCATATCAGTTTTAGGGGTTTTGAAAATTTTCTAAGCGAATGGACCTGGTGTTAACCTAAACACCGCGAATGCGTGTTTGTTGTCTACTGTGTCTTCCTGTGCCCAAGTGTTTAATTGTGTGGATGTACCCATTCAGACGTTGAACTATTTTGTATAAATTGCATTTAACCGTATCTAATTTATATAAACCAGCGGTATTAGTTTTAGTTTCCATGCACTAAAACATAATGACTTGAAGAGCCAAAGACATTTCAAGCAAATTTAGAAAGTATAAATATAGTTCAGCAATGACCAACGAACAAATTTAAGGGTTTCCTTATAGAATGTGCATATACAAACATATATACATGATTTATCAAGTACATTTAAAATATCATTTTAAATACCCAAAAAAATAAACTAAAAAGTATAAAAAGAGTAATGTAGGTCTGTCAAGACGTTTTCCGCATTGAAAGAAACTCCATGAAGTGTAAATATTTTTGATCAATTCGTCAAGTTCGTCTGGCTTTGTTAGTTCAAAATAGTCCCTCTGATTTTTAACTACTTGAATGTAACTCTGTACACATAGTTTGCAGAAGTGGATATAAATCACTTGTCGGTTTGGGTAAAATCAGACCACTATATTCTCTTGTTACCATATAAAATAAACAAACAAATAATGATATTTGTCTCTTCCTAATAAATATAAACAAATAAAACTTGATACAGAATGTACTTACATTTACATTAGAGAATATACAAACTTTTATTTATATCGATTCAGAGAGAGATAAGGCTGCCAACTTAGACACTGAAAATGTATTTCATCAAATATGCTATTACCAATCATAACTTGCTAATCGGTAGTAGTGGTATTAGAGGTAGTAGCAGTTCTGACTAGATATGTTAAATGTATTCCACTGTGACTGCATATGAACAAATAAGCCTGATAAAATGAGTCATAGTTTTTCTACGTGGTTACCTGGTTATATGGCTACCAGATAATAAGCAGAGAATTGTAACCAATAGCAGTTATATATTTCAATATTTGAAGCTCTGTCACTCTTTGGGTTACAGTGGCCGGTTGCAGAACATACAATTCCACAGCGAGTGAAAACATTTTTGTAACATTTTTCCTTTGTAATTGCAGACAGTAAGGATAACGTCACTTCTTTACGGAGCTAAAGAAGTGACGTTATAACTGCTTAGGAAAACCGAAGTTAGATACCTGGATGCCGTGGTATCAGATTTTAATTTTGGTGAGGTGTCACAAGTGAAAATCCACTTCCTATAAGTTACACTCAAAAATAGTATAGTATGTTGCCTAATTAAATTTGGCCCTATTCTAATGAGAAAAAGCCTGATGAACCATCTAAGAACAGACATTCGAAAAATAATAACTAGATTATAGGTTAGATTATAGATTATCAACCGCGCAAGTTGGATTAAAAAAAAATTCTTCAAAAATTTGATCACTAATATATATCTAGTATATGTATATATTGGTCATAATCGTGATCAATCAGGCATAATATATATAGTTATGACTAGTTTGCATTATAGTTGCTTTCGAAACAAAAGCATACAAGAAAGCGATGTATTATCCAAAATGAAATGTTGCACTGAATAGCATGGTACACACAGTACGATCTAATGTTTCCTGATATAATTCAAAATATATAAAAATTGAACCCACACAGGATGAAAAATCACTCTCTCTCAAAACGGCTAGCAATGGAGAACTAATAGCCACAGGACTCTAAGATTGGAAGGCACGAATATCTAATTCGTATTTTAGATCATCATGGTAGATTGAACGGTATTTAAATTGATGAAATG